TTACACTGACACTTTAAAGGTGCATTGTGTCTAGGAGGGTCCATTAGATACATTTCTGATCAAGTTACAGGTCAGATCTGTGGAGAAGCCACCCCACTCAATCAAAACATCTGTTTTTGTAGGTATTTTTGAGTTATAAAACCATCTGCAATTGAATAAATGTAAAGTAGAGCAGTTTAATGTCACACTGTGGAACATTTGAGACAGAGCAATGACATATCCAAGCAGGTGACAGAACCTCCACCACAGAAGTTACACAATGCACATTTTAAACATGATTTCAACAAAATAAAGGTGTTTGTTTTCTTATACTTTTGTCACATAATAATTTCTGTGTTCATTAGACATGTTTTGGCCAAGAGTGATTTCCAACCAGACTGCAGATTTATTTATTTATTTTATTTTTTTTGTCAAATCTTAAATGATCTTATCTTTGTTTTAGCCAAATGAAACTTAAACTTATCTGTGTACTCATTTGACTACAGGTGTCTTTTATTGCACCTTGTTGAACATCCATTCTTAAGGCCGCTACACACTACAGGAAAATTTACCCGATTTTGGCTGCAATTTCTTCTCCCCGAGCTTGGGACGGGACAACTTTTGTCTATGTGTGCGATTTTGAAGCCACGCTTTTCATGTATGTAGTGTCAGTGTGATTATGAGCTGCTCTGTCAGGTCATAACCACCAAACATCAGCAACGCTACAGTAACAGATCATAAAATAGAGGCGCAAGATACAAACTCAGGAAATAGCGAAAATAATGAGAAGAATTTATAGAAGACTCATAACATTGTAAATATTGTGTGCAGCATCTCATCTGTATTACCCATAGAAATTGTCATCAGCAAATAATGATCCAGTCCACAAAACCACACTATTAATCCAGTTTGAGGCATTCTTTAAAAGTAAAAAGGCAAGAGTAGTTCCTCACATGTGTCTGTTTACATCCACACAGCGCATGGATCGAGGTGAAGCTGCAGATTCGCGATAGTGACCTTACTTCCTGTGGACTTTATCACCAATCTTTCATGCTTTAAAAATCATGTATCTGAAGTTATGCACCACATTTCACAAATAATAATAACACAGTTTTGACTTGTATCTAAACTAGAAGTGCAGAGCTCTGATCTTTGGAAGGCTTAAGAGTCTCAAAGCGAGAGGTTTTACTGTAGACAGGAAACTTCTGACGTGATCGTTCTCACTTTATATCCAGTAGTCTTCAGTCATATCCCGCTGCAGTCTTTGCGATCAGAGATTTTAAGTTTCATAAGATTCTCCTCATGTATGTGGTGTGCGCTTTTTGTCACGTTTAAAAATCGTTTAAGACCTTTACTGTGATTAGGATCACCTCTCCACAGATATGACCTGTTACTTTGCCTAATAACAACAGCTGACAGACCTTCCACCATAAAACCTACAGAGTGAACCTTTAAGAACAGAGAATTGGTATTTTCATTTTGAGTGTAAGAGCCAGAGGTGGGACCAAGTCGTTGTTTTACAAGTCTCAACTAAGTCTCAAGTCTTTGACCTCAAGTCAGAGTTAAGTCCCAAATCAAATACAGGCAAGTCCAAGGCAAGAGTCAATGGCTCATAAGTCCAAGTCAAGTCCAAGTTGTCTGCTTTGAGCTTCAAGTCATTTCAAGTCTTTAAACCAAAGTACCAAATATAGCTTAGATTTTAGCAATTTATATGATTTTTTAAGATAAATTGTACTTATAAAGTCATAGTATATTTATATATGAGTATTTATAGAGTATATAAGTTGCATACATTTTTGTGTCTGAACAAGATCTGAATGTGAATCATTATGGTCAAAATAGAAAGAAATCAGATTTAAACATGCTTCTCGAGTCTTCTCAAGTCACAGGCCTCAAGTTCGAGTCAAGTCCCAAGTCACTGACCTTCAAGTCCAAGTCGAGTCCCAAGTCTTAGTCCGTTTTATCAAGTCAAGTCTCAAGTCTTAAAAATAGCGACTCAAGTCTGACTCAAGTTCCAGTTCTATCCACTCCGGTTTATTGTCAGTAGAAATTTCACTGTTTAAAACTCTGCTTATGTGTTTGAATCTGAATAATATGAAGTCATTGCATACAGGGCTAACAGTTGGGAGGGAATGTGTGTTTTTAAGACTTTAAGCCATCACACTGCTCTGGGTTCTGTTACTGATTTAAAGCATGTAAACAAGCCTGAAACAGAAAACACCATTTAGTCCAAGTGTTAACTTCAGTGCCCAAGATTGCACAATACTAAAGATCCAGGAATGCCTGAACTTACAATGGGTCAAACAATATTAAAAACACTTCTGCTGGTGTTTATATTCTATTGCACAGGTGTCAAACATAAGGCCCGGGGGCCTGATCCGGCCCTCCAAGGCCTTTAATGTGGCCCTCGGCTGATTTTCTACTAAAATATTTTAATTATATTTTCTATTAAAATATTGGTAATTTTCTGCAGTGTTTATCATAGCAGCGTCTCCAGCGTCTCCCAGGCCCCTCCCACCAGAGCAGCACAAATGAAGACTTGTCTCTTTCCAAACATTCTTAAAGGACGATCGTTTTGACTGTTGACCGTGACACCCTCATCAGCAAAATGTCAAAAATGAGAAAAGTGGACGCTGAGTGCAGGATTTTCCAAGAAAAATTGACTTATTCCTATTTGCATACAAATTAATGTTAAAACATTGTGTTGAAATAGTATTTTTCTTAAAGTTTCAGGTTGTTTATAATATTATAATATTTTGTAAAAGAAAGAGTTCCTCAATTAAAAAAGATTTCTGTAATAGATTTGCATTTCTCTGCACAAATATTTGAACTTATTGTTATTTTTGGGGTAGGATACGGCCCCCAGACCAAAATGAATTTGACACCCCTGTTCTATTGCATTATGATTACTGTCTTGAAAAAGTATCAGAATTAGTTCATTTTAAACAGTTTGCAGTGGTCCAAAGTTATTCCTCACTTACCTTATGCATTCTCAGCATCCTCATTATTCACCAAGATGAGTTTTGCCATCACGGTAAAACAAATAGCATGCTAACCAAACACTTTCTGATAATCGGACAATACATCTTTTAACAGCGGTGATACTTGAGCTCTTATATAAAGCGTTGTTGCTACAGGAGACACAGAATTGTAGTAGGAAAGTCACAACTTCTATACTCGAACTATGATATTTTCAACATAGAGTAACTTTTAGGCTATGTTCAGACCGCAGCCTGAAGTGACCCAAATATGATTTTTTTTCACCTCTATGTGACCTGTATCTGATCTTTTAATGACAGTCTGAATGACAAGAATCCGATTTTTTCAAATGCGACCCAGGACAGTTGGATATGTGCTCCTAAAACCGATACATATCCGATCTTTTGACATGCTACTTCAGTCTGAACGGCCAGGTCACATTCATCCCACCTTGAAGTCTCGTCAGTGGAGGTGTCGGGAAGCTGGCCCGACGTGGTCAAAGTAGGAGGCAGACGCAACAACAAAAAGTGTCCTTAATTTAAACTAAAGTATTTAACCCCAACGAAAGTATAAATAAACTGAAAATAAGTAACTCAAATCCAAAAAAACCCAAACAACCTACACAAAAGTCTCTCACCTTAATTGATGACACCTACTTGCCTTTATACTCCGCCCAGCAGGAAGTACCTCCCCCAGGTGAGTATTGGTTCCAGGTCACTTTTCAAAGCAAAGATGTCTTCTCAAAATCAAAATGTTGAACATAAACTAAGGTAAATTTAAAATGAGACAAACGCCCACTTTGTCACAGGAGGGAAAGTGAGGTTAGCGAGTTCATTCATATTTGGGGGGATCGCTGTATTCAGGCCAAGCTGGAGGAGTCTTATCGGAACTGGGCGGTTTTTGAAATGATTGTGAAAGAAATGGCCGAGACCCCAGTGTTAACAAAAATTAGGAGTCTGCAAGCCAAATACAAGGAGGCTAAAGACTCAAACAAATGAAGCGGCCATGGACTTGTAACCTGTCCATTTTACGAAGAACTAGACTGTATTGTAGGAGATAAGCCCAAAAAAATCTGAATTGAGCATTAAGCACTGCAGTCTGAACATAGCCTTAGTTTTAGAACAGGCTTAATTTACATTCTACATCCCTGTTAATTAAACATTATTTAATTTATTCCATTTAACATCTTGTTTTTTGTTACTTCCCTCACCCCAACGAGCTGGGTCATAACACCACTAAATTCAATGACTTTGCTAAAGATGCTAAAGAGATGCTAAAGACTGCCAGGAATGTTCCGCTGTATATACAAGGAGATACAGGTCAGACGTACAGGTCAGATCTGTGGAGAGATGAGCCTGCTCTCAGTAAGAATGGTCTTCTTTGGACTATTTTCAGACAAAAACAGTAGCACGTCTCTAATGAAAAAGTTGCGCAGTGAACCTTTAATGTGTGCTTAAACATACCATCAACTGTGGGTCTACTGATGAGTGTTAGGGCTGTAACGATACGATATCGTCACAGTATGAACCTCACGGTACAATATTTACTGCGATATCGTGGGAAAGCTCACGATATGGTGGGGAGACTCACGTTTAGACATGTAACAATATCCAAATCTCTCGGTACAATATTTTCACAACATAGATCTCAAAGTACGATATTTATTGTGATATTTTGTGGAGGTTAACAGAACTATTATATGCTACTTTTCCTCTTAAAATGCCTTGACAAGACTTAATCCAAAGAACTAAGACTTAAAAGTGCTTAGAACTGTTATTTCTTCATCGAGTCTACACTGTAATGGAGCAAAGGATCATGGTCTATGTAGTTTGCTTTTTTTTAGCCATTGCTGCACCATAACTCTTAATTTAAGCAAAGACATTTGTAATTCAATATATTGTAATGGTCCACGATATCATTGTGAGACTTTTGACGATACAATATCATGATGTTTTGGTTATTGTTACATCCCTAATCAGTGCGTATGCTAAAAGAATGTTCAGAGTGTGCAGAGTGTAAGAGAAGATGACACCATTTCCAAATCACAACCCATTGTATGGCTTTATTGTCATTACCTATAAACCACTATGAATTTAAAACCTATATCTTATTTTACATGAACATAATACATTAAATTATGCAAGTCAGAGACAGTTTGCTGCAGTTGTGTCAATGAGTGCTGCTACATCAGTGAATCTGAACATGACCTGGAGTTTGGTTCAGTAGTTCAGTTTAAAGTGGAACTAAACACCTAAACGCCGCCATAAGCACATTTCCAAGTGTTTGTAATCAGAAACACCATCCTGGATTTAATCAGGGCAGTCTTGCGTGACGTCATCATAGACTGTATATGTAAATGGACAGAGCCATGGCATGCCAAATAGGTAGTTTGCATGTGACTCTTCTGGCTCCTTCTGACCCTGGCTCCCATTGACTTACATTGGAATATTGTCATCCCTCTCTCTGTACAAGCTGCAGTGAGCATCTACATTTTGCTCTTAAAATGTTTGCATTAACCCACTCTGTGTAATCCTGTTTTGTTTTTTTCCCCCACAATTTTGTCCTTCAAAAGAATCCTATTCATAATATAGAGCCTGGCTCCAGATTTGCTCCTGTAACTGTTAGCATTGCAAACTTCATTTGACTGGCACTGAATGACGTCACACTCACTTGGTCCACTTTTTTACACATTCTATGGATGTCACTAACTACCATATTTTTCAGACTATAAGTCGCACTTTTTTTCATGGTTTGGGTGGTCCTGCGACTTATACTCCAGTGCAACTTACATGTTAACATTTTCACAATGACAGCCGCGAAAGGGCGCTCTAGGTTTGTGTACTCCTGTACCACCGTCACGTGGCTCTACTGCGCATGTCGGCTGCAGAAGAAAGAGAAAGAGCCTCTGTTCTGTGTCAGTCGATCACACTATTACTTCTGTATCACTGACAATTTAAAATTTAAACAAACATAAAGACAACCAAAAACATTCTGTTGGGATTCAGAAAGGCCAGAATAATTGTAACTGGAACTGATGCTGAGTCTGATGACAGCTACACAAAAGAGGACGCGGCGCTCTGTTTAACTCTGGAGGTCGCGGAGTTGCTCAGAAGTGACACCAAGGATGAAGAATTCTGTGGATTTAGTGATTTGGAGTGAGATGGAGAGTTTGTTAAACTTGTTCTGTTCTGTTGTTTATGTTATAGTTTATCTGAAGAACTGTTCATAGTGTGACGTTAACAGTCTGTTGTTCTCTGTTCTGTTGTTATTACTAGAACTTGACTTTCAAGATGAAATGTTGGTTCCTGGTCTCTGATTTTATAAAATAAATTTCACCCAAAAAGTACAACTTATATATGCTTTTTTCTTCTTCATTAAGCATTTTTTGGCCAGTGCGACTTATACTACGGAGCGACTAATAGTCCAAAAAATACAGTACTTACAATACAGACGAAGCACAAACTTAGATTTAGGCGGCAAATGTACCTAGTTAACACCAAAATTTAGGATTTAGTGTTTAGCTTCACTTTAATTAGAGTATTTTTTGGAAATTTGAGGTCACATTGAGACCAATTCCTTTTCAAGTGCTTCTAATTTGTAAATTTTTTTTTTTTACTTTATATGTAATTTTGCATGTGTGTGTTTATATTGGCAGTATTTTACAATGCACATACTAAAGTTTCACCATTGAACTACTGAAACAAATTCCACCATATTCCGTCATCTTAAGACTTTGAAGTATGTAAAAAAAAAATAAAAAATAAAAATACAGTAGCTCATTAAAAGCATTGCATCAACAAAAACTGCCCAAGTAGTAGTGTCCATTTTCAACAACCACCCCCATCCTTAACCCCATAACACCCTTTAAATATTTGGCATTTTGGTCCACACATTCTGTCCATTTTTGGTGAGTTTTTGGTGTCTTTTTGGTCAGAGTTCACAGGGTCTCGTACATGCGAAGGGTGCGTTCCAGTTGCTGTGTGACTCGCTGGTAGAATGCGATCTGTTCTCTGAGGTAGGCCTGCATCATGTCTTTAAAGTCCACCTCCCGCCGCTGGTGGAAGTGGCTCATCTCGGCCTGGAGAGCGAAACCGACCGTCCGGCAGCGCTTCCTGATCCCGTCCGCCTCGTTCTGGTCCATCTTCCCCTCGTCGCTCATCCTCTGGGACTCCTTCACCTTTGCAAACGCTCCTGAAAGACAGAAAGAAATATAGGGTTATAATGTATGTACAAATATGTTTCGTTCTAATCTAATCTTGTTTCCTGATACATTATTCACCTTAATTACACCTTATTCCATTGGTAGATAATGTTACTTGTCAAGTTTAATCTACTCAAATAAAGTAAAAAGTTCTTAATTTAAGTCATTTTACATTACTTAGATATTGTTTTTTGCAGTGAACTACAACATGTGAGATGATTTATGCACTCACATATAAAACTGCAGTCACAAGACAGAAAATTTGTTGTTTTTTCTTAAGTTTTCAGACAACCTTTTGTGTGAAGCAAAACTTGGTCTTTACTTTAGACCATAGGCTTCGATAGTCCCTGAGGGGGTTATTCTTATTCACAAACACGCAGCTCGTTTGACATATGCACAACAACATAGACAAATTACTGTAGAGTTGTAGTACTTGTTTAGGATTGGCTCCGCAAACTTCCTAAGTCATTTCAACTGACAACAAGCACGTCTCTGGACTTGAATAATGCCTCCACTGAAGCTATTGTGAATAAATAATTTCACTTTGGTTTATTTATACTGACAGAGAAGACGGTGAACTTTGGGGCAGTTTTTGGAACATGTTTTTATTAACCACAATAAACCATAAACCAAGTCAAGCCCAATGTGACAGTTCAACAGCAAATTCCATCTGTGAATTCTGACCTCCAGCTTTGTTTTCACAACCAGGTCACGCATGGTCACAATCCGATCTTAGAATTTGTCTTTTAAAAGTGCATTGTAAGTCTGTGCAGTTAATTGAATTTTGATTTCAATTTGCGTCTCAAATGATCTCCAAACTCATATAATCAAGTTGAAACGGTTTATAGCTTAATGTTTATTTTGGGATATTTTTTATATAAATAAGTATAATTATTTTATTTTTTAAACATAGAAATTGTAGAACAGCTGGATATATAGTTTATTTTGGATACATTTATGTTTTTCTATGCCTTATTTCATGTTCATAGTATATTTTATTCATTTTATGTTTTATACATCACAAAACTGATCTAAGGTTCATATTCACCCTGTGTGTCTGTGTGTCTATGTGTGTCTGTCCACCCGTGATAATTCCGCCATTTACGGACCGATTATCACACATCATCAAATTTGGTACGTGGGTCAAGCCCCCGTGCCCGATGCCACAAAAAAAAAAAGTTTGGTGACAATCCGAGGTCATTTGAGGTCTCAAGGGTCAATTGAAAGGTCACGCCATTATAAAGGATCGGTAATTTCGCCAGTTTCTGAACCATCTGTGGCCTAAAATATTCACACATAACTGGGATACACTGGATGTTACAGGTTGAAACCAGTCAAGGTCACTTGAAGGTCAAGGTAACCAATGTCAAGTATGCGTTTTTGGTCATAACTCCGCAAAGAACTGAGCTAGAGCAACGGGAGTGGTCTCAGAATTTCTATTCTCTATAGCTGTCTCTATATATCTAATATCTATTTATAATTCTATGCATGTGTATAGTAAAATATTTATAGTTTTCAAGATAATCAGTAATTGTAACAGTTCCTCTTGTAACAGTTTCTCTTTCAGTGTATTCTGTTAAAATTCTAATTGAAACATAAAGAATTTCTATTTCTTCTTTTGCTGGTGATACACAACACACTGATCTACAGTCACACAACTAACATATACACAACTCATGAAAAATGACATTTTCATTACACACTAGTAAACACAGACATTCTCATGTGCGACCAATATCACACAAATGTTCATGGGCCTGTACAGATACACACATTGTATTGTGGATATAACCATCATGTAATATGGGCTGGGCTCCTCATAAACTGCTTCTGTGGTGATGAACTGACCCACTGATGCATCATGGGGGACCAGGTTGATATCTCTGATTGCGCTTGTTGTAGGCTATATTTATTTTCAATTTGAAAGTTGTGTGTAAATTATCAATAACAAAGTGTCTTTTTGAGAGAGAAATGCTGAATAAATGCATCGTGTAACTAAAAAAATAATTGTCTGAATAATCATGATTTCAATATTGACCAAAATAAACATGACAATGATTTTTTTCCATAATCGAGCAGCCCTCGTGCATTGTGTAACTTTTCTCGAATCGGGTCAGCCACCTGCTTGTTTCCATGACGATCACTTTGTCTGACATGTTCCACTGCCTGGCATTCAGTTTATGTATCTTGCACTCTATGGAGAATTTATTACTTTGCTAGGAATATTCCACAGTATGGCATTAAGCTTGAGGTGAAAGCTCACAGTAAAGATGCATGTTTTCAAGATTTTCCTTCTTTTTTTTTTGCCATAAAAACGCCTCTTCTTGAGTAAATGCAAGTTAGAAAAGTTTAAAAACATCTCCATGGGGACAGCATACCAAGAATGCAACCAGAAAAGTTACATAATTCAGCTTTAACGAGCCTATATTACGCAACTTTTGAACCACTTTATAATGTTTCCTCATCACAAATTATTCACACATGTTTAACACACAAACTTCGCACATAGTTCTTCTCTCACACAGAAAACACTCTGCTCCACCTTGTGATGTCATGTGGCAATACAGGAAGTGCTCCACTGTGTTTTTAAAGTAAATAAAGCCTCACGACAATCATTTGGACAATTTCAGTTTTGGTATTGCCAATCTATATTGAACTAAAAGTAAAAGGTAGCTGTTGAAATCTACCATTTCATGACATCACAAGGTGGAACAGAGCATTTTGAGCTTTGGGGATGTAGACAGATACATAATAAAGGATTACTCAAACATGTGCGAATGAAAACACAACTCCAGGTTTGTTTTTGATGACATAACAACATTATAACATGACTAAAAGCTCACAAGAGACAATTTAGTGTAATATTGAACCTTGAAGGATAATTTTATGAAACGTTTCTATTTGATATATATGTAAAATAAGTCTGATAACTCATGTGATGCATCTGTGTCAACCCTGAGACTGAAAAGGACCGCAACCAACAATGAACTAAACATTCTGACAGTCGGAAGTACTCCTTTTCGTAAATAAGCGAGGCTAGTCTGCTCTAAGTTGTAAATGTCAAAGTTTTGGAAAGAGCTCCATAAACCGCACTTAATATAATGTAATAAAAACTGTAACTCTTTCACATTTTACTGCGGTGCTCGTACTCAGAGGGTCATTCGAAATACACTTTAAAAAGCAATAATCAGACCTTTTCTCGAATGAAGAAAGTCTGACGTGAGCTTTCCACATTAGCCGCTCGTACGCCGTCACAATCCCCTTCTGTTTGAGCACATACCAAACCTCCACGAGACATAACCACACTTGGCCAGACCAGTCTTACCTCACTCAAACCTGGCAACGCAAAGGAAAGAAACTAGATACTGGAACTCACAAGTACACAAGGAAATGCTGCAATGAGCACGAGCAGCAGAAACAGGACTTTTGGTGTAAGTATTATGTGAATGTGTTGTTTTGTATAAAGTACGGCAGGTTAGACTTTGCTTTTTATGAAATTTTACAAAAAAGTCTAAAATTGTACGTCCTGGTTGGAAATCCTGGTTGTGTCCGAATGTCTCTTCTAGCTCCTAACCCAGGGCTCCTAACCTAACCTAGGCCTGCACTAGAGGCTCTACTCACAAGACGTTTGGAAACATGTGGATGATGACTTCCAGTGTAGTTACCGACAGTGGGCATGTGATAAAACTAGGGATGGGCATGATTAATCGATTAATTGTTAATTGATCATTAAGAATTTCATCGATTACGTTAATTTTAATAGACAAACCGAATGTAGGTTGCTGTGCGTAGCGTGACCAAACAGGGGTCCGTACATGTGTCTCTCTGCACTCAGAAGGAGCGAGACACAAACAGTGGGTCAGTCTGCAACGTACCGAAGCACAAATGTGTATTTAACGATGACTTGTACAAGAAATTCCACGCTTTCCGTTGCGTTCGGGACAAGTGGGAGGCCATGTGCACAGTGTAGAAAGCAGGAACATATGTTTCAGTGTCCAGTGGGAAAAAGTTTTACCAGGTGAGAGTCGCGCAATGTCGATGACGAGTCCCCACCTCCCACCTCCCGTACGGTGTCCTGGTTTTGACAAACGCAAATCTGGTCACACTAACCTGTATTCCACTGAGTCATGTCTTTTAATCCGACAGAAGCTGACGCATCAGTGCACAAGAGCTGTAGTTTTATCTTCGCTTAGTTTATGCAAATTAGTGATGCGGTTTTAAGTTTTGTTTCTGTGAGAGTTGCGCAAAACTGAATTAAACACATTATAATGTCAAATGGATTGATGTGGCTTTAGAGTGGTTACGGTTTATATGTCGTAAAGTTGAATTTTTTTATGCAGATTAGTAGTGCAGATACTAATAATAATGATGATCATTTTAATATAAAAACGTTAATGATTAATCGATAATCGATCGTTAATTCTTCCGACGATCGATTAAGAAAATTTCATCAAATGCCCATCCCTAAATAAAACTCTCAGAGTTACTATCGCCAACAGCGCCCAAAGGAAGTTGCCATCTGTATGTTTCCAAACGTCTGCTGGTTTTGCGTGAATAGAGCCCATTTATGAGACGACTAGTATATAGGGCCTCATTCACAAAGATTCAAACACACGGCTCCAGTGGTGGGACCAAGTCGTTGTTTTGCAAGTCTCAAGTAAGTCTCAAGTCTTTGACCTCAAGTCCGAGTCGAGTTCCAAGTCGAAGAAAGGCAAGTCCAAGTCGAGTCTCGAGTCACTGGTCCATAAGTCCAAGTCGAGCCCAAGTCGTCTGCTTTGAGCTACAAGTCAATTCAAGTCTTTAAACCAAGCTTAGATTTTTGTAATTTATATGAATTTTAAACTAAATAGTATGTAAAAAGTCATAGTATAGTTATATATGAATATTTATATAAGAGTTGTAAAAATGTTTTTTCCTATTTTTCCTTTTAAAATGTCTAGAAAATCATGACAGTCAGAACATAAAGAATTTAGATTTAACATCAGTTATT